AAAACTTAAACCTAAGTTTTTTCACTTTTAAATAAGTATAAAAAATACATTATAAAAAAAATTACTGATTAGTTAATAAACAAAGAATATAGTAGCAGCTACAATTGAAAGACTACCTGTGCAAAAGACTTAGAAAAATACTAGGACCCCAAGAATTTAACAGGCAAAATACATGAAGAGACAATTCGCTGAAATGAAAAACGCACAAGGCTAATTAAAACAAGAAAAAACTTTCCAACCTTACTAGACATCATTTACTTATTAAATTAGCAAAATTTTAACCAAATGGTAACTCAGAAATGATGGTGTGAAGTCAAAAGGCATGTGTACACTCAAGTATATGAGCAGGAGTGGGAGAATTGTGGGGGTAGGATATCAACATGGCTTTTGATAAGAGACTTAAAAATAGTTACACCCAAGGTATGTGAGACTCTGTGTGTGTATACACATATACACATACATATATAAAAATATAAGTTAAAAATATCTTTATACTTTTCTGTACACTTCTAAAAATACACATATATACCCTAAGAAATCAAGTGTTAATTAGAATTTATGCAGTATGATTACAAGTTAAGAATACGGCTCTACCACTTACTAGCTACGTAACCTTCAGCAAGTCATTAGTTTTCTATGCTCAGTTTCCTCATCAGTAAGATATTTAAAAAAGAAAAAAAAAAGTACCTAATTTGCAGGGTTGGTGTAAAAATTAAATGTGAATATAAATTAGAGTTTAAAACAGTACCTGGCATATACAGTGCTCAATAAATGTTAAGTACTATCACTCCACATATCAGAAATTTGGAAACAGCCTAATGTTTAATGACAGGAGCATGGTTAAAAAGATTATAGTAAATCCAAAAAATGGCATATTATTATACAGTCTTTAAATTTTGTTCATGAAGAGTTTTTAATGATGCTGGAGAAATGCTTATATTAAGTGAAAAAGTATGATATAAAATTGAATATATAGTATGACTTCAATTATGTAAAATATACATAAATATGTAGAAAAAGATCCAGCAGAAAACATACCAAAATATTAAAGGTGGTTACTTTGGGTAGTAGAATTTGACCTGCTTGCTGTTGTTTTCCTATACTTTTCTATTGTTGTGTTTTTTTTTTCTTTTTTTCCTGAAGGAAGGCATTGCTTTTAAAACCAAGAAAACACCATAATTATAAAAGGTTAAAGTAAGGTAATAAATGAGTAATTTAAAAAATGTACAGAAACGCTGAAGTTTTCACATATAGATATCATACAGAAATTGTGCCTTTCCAAAACTCAATTATTTTCTGTTGAATTTACAAATAAAGAGTACTGTATTCATGCAAAATAAATATTACAAGCAACATAAAGCAGTAAATATGTCTTGGTTGAATGTGTTTATAAATGAGTGTCTGAAATTTAACACAAACTTTGTTTTCCCTGCGTTAAAGTGGCCCACACTCCTTTGGCCAGCCCCCACAACCCAAAGCAGGAGTTCTAGCCTCCAGCTGGTTCCGATCCAGAGTTCCTGTCTAATCCTCGACCAGCAGTGGATCTTGCCGGCAGTTCTCTTCTCAGCTTCACTCCATGCTCCAGCAGCTTTTACCTTTCTGTCCATCAAACAACAAAGTTCTAATCCCTTTCACAATGTTCAAAGGGAAGAACTCCTACTGCCTGGCTGTAAGAAAAAGAAAAAAAAAGTAAGGCATTTCTTTCACTCTGAATAAACTTTCAGAACACTTTTCAATTCTTTATGAACAATTTTTCCCCTTCTTAAACAGCTTTAGAACCTGTTTTCCTCAACTTTACCTTTCAGGTTATCTTACCTTATCATAAGTCCAAAATACTATGTTTACGTCAATCAATCAATTTTCACCCTTATAGCATTCAGTCTATTAAATATATAATTATCAGTCCATATAAGTATGATTCAAGACCTTAATAGATTTTAACAACACTAAAGAAAATAAACAATCGCAATTTATGAGACTTCAGGAAATTGTTCATATTCTGAAAAATTAAAGCATTTCTTTGGAGCAAATCTCAAAGAAATTCTTTATCAATCAGCATTTCCCCCTACATAGCACTAGGTTAGACATTATATATTTTAGCCATATGCTGAAAAACCATTCTAGCTAAAGTGTCAGTTGTTGACCCAAACATCCATCCACATTGCATTAACCAGATCATTTATGACTGAATTTTTAAAAGTGGTATAAGTAGAAACTCCCCAGATGTTAATTAATGTACTTTGTTGCTCTACGTGACTTAATTCTCATAGCAAAAGCTGAACACCAAGCTTTACAAAGTAACACAACACAATCTAAATGCACCATAAATTTATATTTGTTAATCTTGATATTAGAACATTTAAACATTTCAAACTACATAAAAATATGACAAACAATATAAAATAGAAAGAAATTTGTTGACGACTTACTTCCAAAACATCATTATATCTTATATTGCAACAAAGCAACAAGACAGCTTACATAGCTCTCCAGAAAACATATAGTGTTTTTAGTGGAGTGTTACCAACAAAACTCAGAACAATCCCACACAATAATGTCTCCAATTTATTATCTTTTCCACAGTACAAATTTTTCATAAACCATAAATTCTTTGCAGTTATTCAAAGACTGTAAACAAGTGCCTGAAACCCCACATCCCCCTGTCTCAGTATAAGCTTGTGAATGTTTTAAGTCCTTCAATCAAGTTTCAACTCTGCAACCTGCATAAGGAATCAAGAGCCTTCTCTCTTTAAATTATTTATATTTTATCATACAGCCTGCAATGCAGTAAATCACAGTGAAAGCCCTGGGAAAAACAAAATAACATGATCTTTACAGCAGGACTTGAAACTTTATAATATTAAATGCATTTAAAGAAGCTTCCCATAATAAAAGTGTGGGTTTTCATGTCCAGAAATCAAGTCAATTAGAAACCCTAGGTTCTACTTAAAAATCCATTTTGATCTAAAAGTGAAAACATCCCCTGTCCATAGTCATTTTATAAACTCTATACAATTTCACTTGCAGATTTTTTTTTCCAGTCTGGAAAACAGTAAGTAGTGCAATTAGTTTTACTTGTTTTGAGTTACTTAGTCCAGGATGTAAATAGCTCTGTGGAAAGATAAGAAGATGCTCTGGTAAACAAGAAACTTTTGCAAGCCCATGCTGGCTTACTAGTCCATTAAAGCTTGTAAGTCCATAGCGGCTTTCAACAAAATGTTGTATATACATTGCTAACAACAAAGCAGAAATAAATAGGCAGAAATGACTGTAAACTGTCTCATCTCAATAATTTTTCGGTAATAACCGGCTTGACAAATTGACTATATAGTCATTTAAATAAGCAGACAGTAGACAGCTGCCCTTAAGGATGTTCCACTATGGCATCCCGTCTGGAAAGTCCCAATGGAGTTACATTCCTAAGATTAAAACAACAAAAAAAAAAGGAGTGGAGGGGTGGGACATAAAGTTTACAGATGCCACTTGAATGGAATTCCATCAAGTCAGCCAGTTCACTTAGATTTCTTCTTAAAAAGACTTTTGATTTTTGATGGCTTTTTGCTTTTCTCTCCATTATGACAAAAGTCATGTGGGATGCTGCTTATCCTGGCAACACTTGGGGCTTCCTGAACTGGTTTTCTGTCATTGCCAGCTGAGGAACATGATGTGTGGCGAGGTTTAGGCACCGGGATGCCACTAGAAAGCTGGTTCATGCTACAGGATTTCTCCAAGATGCCATTGTATACTTTGCTTGCAGGACTGAAGATCATACTCTTAGTTTCTGTCAGACCTACACAGTCAGGAGAACCCCGAGAGACATCTGCAGTTATGGGTGAATCTCCTCTGGAGGAATCCTCTAGGGAGAGCTCATCTCTTGATATCTTTCGAGGAGACAATGTTTGGTATATTTCAAGGCTTGAAGGAGGAGACTGTTTCCTTCCAATGGAAGAATTTAAGGAGTCACATTCTGAAGCTGTGTCTGGCACTTCCCTGAATGAGATAGAGGCAAAAGTAAAACTGTTAAACATGTTTAAGAGTACTGGCAGACATACTAACTAAAACTACTTTCATAATTTATTAAAATTTAAAAGGGGGAAACACTGTAATTCCATGTACAAGTATATTACAACAAAATAAGAAAATTACTATTTTAAATAATATAGCTTATCAAAACTCAATGCTAAATTTTTAACAATAATAATAAAATCTTACAATCTAAGAAACAGTATAATCTTATGTTATACCTTCTCTAATTGTCAGAGAAATAAAAATGTTTAAATTTTATAGGAGATTCTTACCATTTCACCTACTTTTGTATTATTTCAATACTGAGTATTTTTATTCTTAAATCACAGAGGTGACACTATATATTTGAAAAGTTGAATTTTAGTTCACTGCTTCTCCCTTTACTTAATTTTTTAGTTAATTAAGTTGACAAAATACAGCTTCCTAAGGAAGGAAGGAATATATTACACTAAAATATAAGTTCCGCCAAGTTTTAAAAAGGGGACAGGGAGTAGAGGTGTAGTAAAGTGAAGGTGAAAAGCCACAATATAATGCTATTTTTAAAAAAGCAGACATTCAATAAATTCTCACAGGGTTATTCCTTTGTGAATGCTTTTCTCCTCAGTGGAAAGAGAAGAGAAATAAAGAGGAATGAAAAAATAAAGTTCGAAACCCCACAGCCAACACACAGTAAATTCTATCAGCCATTCTTCAAAATATACCTCAACCCACTCTCCTTACTACCTCCACCTGAATGCTTTTCTCCTCAGTGGAAAGAGAAGAGAAATAAAGAGGAATGAAAAAATAAAGTTCAAAACCCCACAGCCAACACACAGTAAATTCTATCAGCCATTCTTCAAAATATACCTCAACCCACTCTCCTTACTACCTCCACTGCTACCTCCCCTCTCTCGGAACCACCATGAACTCACCTGAATGGTTGCAACACATTCCTAAT